CTTAACCTTTTCCATTTCTTTATCATAATTTAGATGCCGCACCATGCTGACTAACTAAGAAAGTGAGGGTGAAAATCTGAGGGACGCGAGAAGACGCGCGGGTGTCACATACCCAAACGGTACAAGTCCTGGAAAAGTATTCGAAGAATCCCTCCACGGATTTTCAGCTTCATGAATGTGACCTTGAATTCAGCTACGAAAGGTTTCACCCATTTCCAGGAAAGGGGTTGTGAGATAAGGGACATAGAATAAATATGCTCCCAAGTAATGAGATACCCGGCGAGCGTGCTCGGGGGTTAAAATGTTTATGCCTTCAAAATAAAAAAATCTTAGAATTAACATTTGTTAACAATTTTATGTGCATACTGTATGTTGTTGCCAACAAAGTCTGCTTGGCGGGATTTGCGCCGGTAAAATGGAAAAGTACCAGTGTGAGATATTAACAAAACAAATTTAGATGACAAACTCAGATGTGCAGCAAGCATAAATTTAATACTATAGTTAGAAAAATTAGAAAAAAAAATAATAATTCTTTTTTTCACAGCAATAATTTTACATTTCTATATGCAATGTTCCACGGATCACAGCTCACATTTTTTAGATGTAATAAAATTTTTCATATAACAATTCATACAATAATTATATTATGAATGAATTTAAAAGATAACAAAAAGTTGGGGCTGATCTTTGGAATATGGTAACTGGTAGTTTGGCGACATTTTGGAGGCAATAAAGGTTACTACCTAGGACTTTGGTAATAATGTGAGAAATACTCAGTTCCGATTACACATTATTTTGTGTGAGGAAATGAGAGATCATGAGATATGTCATGTGACATTAATGGACTAATTACAGTTCTTTAATCGGAAAAGGGAGGGGGGAATTTGGAAAACTGTAGTACTATATTATTTTGTATTAAGCTTGTGTGTTGTGCGAAATAGTGGAAGTGTGCGTGCCACGTAATGAAGATTTTGAAGATTAGGTAAGTTAGTATTTTTAATCATTTGAGGATATTATTTTTATGCATTGTTCTAAATGTAAGGAGTAAATAAATTAATATGATATTATTGGAAAATTGTTATTAGCAATGATTTAGTTTAAAGTAATTAGGATTGTAATCTAATTTTTATTAATTTAATGTATGTGCTTATTTATATTTTAAGTAATGATTTTTAACTTAATTATATTTTAATTTAATGATCGTGATTTTGTGAGTTATATGTTTGTAGCATTTTGGAATACGTTTGAGTAGAATATGTTGAGTATTTTCATGCATTTTCGTGAAATTTTTCTAATTTATGAGAAAAAAGCAGTGTACATGGATATAGTGAAGAGTGTGCGCAATGCCATTTTTGTGCAATTCTGGGATGTTTTTTTAAGTAAAAATAAGTCGACGTGTACATAGTTTAGTGATATTTTAATTAAATGATAGTTATTTTGTGAATTTTATGTTTTTAGGAATTTGGTATACGTTTCAGTTGAAGTAAACGTGCATGGAAGTAATTTAAATATTTGACACTAAGTATTTGTAACCATTTGTAATGTTTGCGGTATGAATTCGTTGATGACGTTTATAATATAATAGATAATTTAGAGGTAAAAGTTTTCGGATATTTTATTTATTTTATACGTGCAAACGTTCATCCTTGGAAAGGGTATATACAGTCAAAAGTCGTTAATTCGGACACCCATAATTCGGAATGATCTATAATCTGGACATCAAAACTAAAAACTTTCTGCGCATGCGCCGCGTTGACACATGCGCAGAGGCATTCACGCGTGCGCGTAAGACCTTTTACGACTGCGCATATGAGTGTGCGCAAGTGCAGAATACGTTTTCGCGTGCGCATTTTATGTATAATGGACGTATAAGCTAAATAATTATCTATTTCAGTTAATGTTGATGATTGCGTTGTTCCTTAATTTTCGAATTGCATCCGGCTTATTATTTTTTGCAGACTGTAAGAGCAATTTTATAAAAGTAAGCTTAAACTTTCGATTATATCAAATAGAATTTCCGATATATATTTGTTAATATGTAAAGGAGATAAAGCGAAAGTATGTTTTGAAATCCGAAATCTGTTTATCAATTTCACGCTGCTCTGCGGCGGGCGCGTAATGAATTGGAAGTTGATTTGTCAGCACCATCCTTATCTTCAGCGCAGATGTTTTTATTTTATTTGGCTTATAATTCCTTACCAAATGTAGTATTTCATCTCGATATGCTCCGTCTTTGATATGATTTAAAACAAGTTCCTCGTCATTATAATTCGCTTTCGATAGCGAAGAAAAGTGACAGAGGTTATTGAAAACAAAAAAATTTCGATTGACAAATTAGTCGGTGTTCTTGACACAGCAATTATAGGACTTGAACGGCGGAACTTCGTAACTGAACAAGAAATTATGTCTGTTTAATAGAATTAAAGAGAAAGTATTATCACATGAAACGAAGCAAAACTTAAACAACTTTACATTGAAAGAAATGTTTAATAAAGTAAACAAATAAATATTAAGCTTTTTCTTTTTGCAAATTTTGATACCCTTTAGATCATAATTGTTCTTTATTTCATAAATTACGGTTTCATATTTTTAATTTTAGAATATCTGCATGCCATCTTACGAGATTTAAACTGATGATCTATAATCCGGAAAAATCGATAATCCGGAATCGCCGAAATCCCGACGAGTCCGGATTAACGACTTTTGACTGTACTTTTTCGCGATCAGGTAATTTCATATATGTTCTTTTTACCGGATTTAAAGATTCACAAAATTTTCATGCATTTTCATGAAATTTTTCTAATTTATGAGAAAAAAGCAGTGTACATGGATATAGTGAAGAATGTGCGCAATGCCATTTTTGTGCAATTCTGGGATTTTTTTTAAGTAAAAATAAGTCGACGTGTACATGGTTTAGTTATATTTTAATTAAATGATAGTTATTTTGTGAATTTTATGTTTGTAGCAATTTGGTATACGTTTCAGTTGAAGTAAACGTGCATGGAAATAATTTAATTATTTGACACTAAGTATTTGTAATCATTTTTAATGTTTGCAGTATAAATTCGTTGGTGACGTTTATAATATAATAGATAATTTAGAGGTAAAAGTTTTTGGATATTTTATTTATTTTATACATGGAAATGTTCATCCTTAGAAAGGGTATATACTTTTTCGCGATCAGGTAATTTCATATATGTGCTTTTTACCAAGTTTAAAGATTCACAGAATTTTTTTGCATTTTTGTAATTTATGAGAAAATAGCAGTGTAGATGGATAAAGTTAAGAGTGTGTGCAATGCCATTTTTGTGCAATTCTGGGATTTTTTTTTAAGTAAAAATAAGTCGACATGTAAATGGTTTATGTGTATGTGCTATTCTGAAAAACGCGCAAGGAGTTTGCTATTGTGCACTTTATCCCAATTTTGCAGTTAATATTTGTCATGATTAAGCAGTTTTGTTACATAAAATTTCTAGCATAAGTGTAATTCGGCTAGTAGATTGTTAGAAAAAGTGTTCAGTAAATAAAAAGAAAAGAAACATGTCTTTACTTCGTGAAGACAAATTTTTTAGGAAAAAAAAAAAAATAGAGGGTTGCTGTAGCAGAGTTGGTCGCCAAAAAATCGCCAAGTTACCATAATCCAAAGATAACCAAAGTTGGGTAAAAGTTTACAATTGGGTGCCCCTTGTTTTTTTGGCAATTCACCCACTGCTTTGCACATTTCACAAAATTGCCCTCCATATAATTGGGGAATTTTGCATAAACTTGAAAGTAACAAGTCTAAGAATTGTACAAACTCGGTATCCATGTAAACATCGACCTATTTTCACTTTAAAAAAAATCAGAGAATTGCACAAACTTGGCATTGTGCACTCAATTGACTTTGTCAATGTACACTTCGATATGCCCCATATAAGTGCATTCTGCACTTTACTTCTTTTTTGAAGCTAAGATCGGTGCCAGGAAGGCACAATTTTGAAATGGCCGCTATTTAAAACCAAAATAAGAAGTCAAATTGCACAAACTCCGTGTCCATGTATACATCGATCTATTTTCACTTGAAAAAAATATCAGAGAATTGCACAAAGTAGGCATTGTGCATTGCCTTTGTTCATGTGCATATCGATCTATTTTCACTTAAAAAAATCAGAAACTAAAACAAACTATTATGGTAACTAGAAATGGAATTTCATCGCCAAAATTGAACAAAACTTGTCACTAATCGAAGAAGGGCCCAATTGTATACTAAAGACGGAAGTTGATGGGAAGAATTAAAATTTTAATTCTTTATCATTTATCATCAAACTGGCAACACTGAGATCACATATTGCCTAAAAGTTAACCAAAATTTCATATCTAACAAAATTTACAGCAATATGTATTAGCATAACTTTCATTTTTCATTCCATTTAGTACAAATAGCCATAATTATCAAAACTTTAGGTCATGATATATTATAAAAAAATTTTTTTTATTTTTTTTTATTTTTTAATTAAATTTTAATTTGACAGCTCTGATTTTATACTGCATAATAAATGCCTAAATATATTAAAAAGTGATCAGAATAAAAATAACATAAATGACTTTCAAAGAAATTCCATTTTTTATTAAATTTTTTGCTGATGTGATAAATTGTCTTTCCAAATTACATGATCCTGCTAGAAACAACCTACTTTTAACATTCTAATCTCTTATTTCCAAAGACATCTATCAAAATAGGGCCTTAATATTTATGGAAATATATTATTCTAAAATAGGAATCACAAAAAAATAATACTGGCTGTCATAGCAGGTTGCATGAATTTAAAATATAACAATAATTCACACATAATGAAACGTTTCACACCCATACAAAAACTGAAATATTAACTTTCTACCATTATGCAGCTGCATTAACATAAAATGACAAGGGAATCTAAGTACTCGATGGTCAAAAGTAATGTTTATATACACGTACACAATAAAATAAAAGCTGCAAAGACCAGAAGCACATTACAAACCTCAAATCCATTAATATATCTGCCATTCCGAGAACTTGTGAACGCAATTCAGAGACAGTCATTGACCAAGTCTTATGTAATCAAAATCCTGTAAAAGAAAAACAGTGACAACAATACTGCGGTAAATTATTACATATAACCCCCAAAGTAATTACTGCTAAATATCAATGTAAATATGATCGTAAATGTCGAAACTTATATAAAAGATATAATTATTCTTTACATGTATAAAGTTTAAACGTGTTCCTACTACAGATCCGAAAACACAAAAAACAAACCTTTATCGTTCTATAAGTAAAATTTAAACTTCACAGTGACTCAACCATGAATAGGAGGAGGTAGATCTCCCTATTAGTTCTGAGGTGTAAGGTAAACTCAACCTTTGACCATTCCTCATGTTTCGCAAACTAATGCTCGCAACTTTCCTGTTTTACTATTGACACAATTGAACTTTGTTTCAGGGGATTCAAGATTGTTTTCTGTTTTTTCGATGAAGATTCAAAGTCACGTGGCATTGAATCGGTTCCGTTTAAATTGCAATCGGCTAACTGTCCAACATCATCATCAACTTGAACGTTAGAGCTCTAGGAGGTAGAGCTACTAGAGTTATAGTAGCCTTACTGGATGGTTCATTTTTTATGCGCTTCTCTTATGTAAGTATGCCTTTTCTTATGAAACTTGCCAGTTAGAATGTCGAAGAATTGGGCAGATAATAAAGACGATTCGGGCATCTGCTCGAATACTCCGAAACATTATCCATACGATGCGAAAGAATTAAATCATGTTTTATGAAGAATCAGTGAATTACGTGAGATAATTCAGTGTATTAATCAGAGACAGTGGCGTAGTGAGGGGGGCAAGGGTGTGTATGATGCTCCGGGCTCCGCTCGCAGAGAGGCGTCAAATGGTCTCCAAACAAGATTTTCATTATATCACTGTGTTTTTTTTCGGGGGGGACGCCAAAAAGGTATTTTGCCCCTGGCACCAGTTATGCTCGCTAGTCCATTGATCAGAGACCTGACTCCCCGCAAAACCTGCAGAAGAGAGAATCGATTCAACAAGAATTCAATCTTCCAGAAGCTAAACTTTTTTCTGTAATTTCTCTTAAAGCTGCAAATGATAAGATCCTCGCTAATACTCCACAACCCTCTACTAGTAAAGCTAAATAAGAAGAAAAGACTACCTTCAAACGTAGTAAACGATCACGAAGAGATAGCCGTTCATCAACTGATTCTCAGCATTTAAGCACTAGTTCACGATGCGAAGCTTTAATAATAATGAAAACTTAAACAAAAAAATTGGATGTAGATAATACGAAACCCCGAACGAGAACAAGAAAAACTCTGATGAGAATAAGAAAATATCAAATAATAAAAAATACGAACGCGACACTCAGAGTAAAATTCCTCTACTTGTAATTACTTAAAAAGATATCAATTGGCATGAACTCCAAAAGCACATTAAAGAAAAAAAAAGTCTCTAAATTAGAAAGCAAAGACGACAATGTTAGAATTCGGCTCTTTAGCATAGAAGATTTCCGACTCGTTCAAAAACATTTCGAAAGTCAAACAGTACCCTTTCACACGTTCCTGCTTACCAGCGATAAAAACCTAAAAGCTGTTATTAAAGGGTTAACTGTAAATACTCCCAATAGAAGAAATTAAAGAACTTGAAAGTCAAAACATCACTGTACTCAAACTGCATCAGCATCAAAGAATGAGAGATGGATTACCAACGCTTCTTCCAGTTTTTTACTTCGAAACTTTCACACCGACAAAAGAAAAAGAAGTTTTTCACGTTACACACATATCTGACATGAGAGTTAGAACAGTCGGATACAAGAGCAGACCGAAACCTGTCCAGTGTTTCCGGTGCCATAAATACGGACACGTACAAAAAGCCATCCCTATATGTGTTCGATGTCTCTAAAATCATTAATCATATCAATGTCCGACAAAAGGAAAAGCTGAAACTCCTGCAAGATATGTATTATGTAACAGATTTCACGAGACCACAAATCCCGATTGCCCAGAACACCTAAGCAAAAAATTCCTACAGAATAAGCATAAGCATCCCACTAAAGAAGATGTTCCTCAATTTATCGAGAACGCACCCGAAGTTCCTAAGAATAATATTAAAACTTATGCTGATATCATCACCAATAAAAAAGAAGATCCTCACGCAGGAAAAACTAAAATTTCATGTTTCAAAAATTTAGACGAATTTAAATCTTTCATTTTCAAATTAAAAGACATATCATAAATTTATTAGTTTCCAAAACGAGATCGACAAGCTAGAATTCGCATTTCAAGTACTCTAGCTCTTCATTTAGATTGCTTTGCTACAATTTTCTTCTAAGAGTCTCTTATCCGAGCGGTAAGGATCCTGGAATCTTTTTGAGTCGAACGAAATTAAGAGTTCTATCCAAATTGAAATCATTAAATTCAAAATGGGACTTGTATATATTTCGCTTTATTCATCATATTATTAGGACTTTTCTTATTATTTCGACATTTACTGTATATTTTTATGTGATTTCATTTTCATTTAAGAAATTTTTCAAGTTTTCAACTTTGAACGAATTTGTTGCTTTTGTCTTCCTGTGGCCCCTCCAGATCACATGATTTCCACTTTCCCGAAATTAGCCATTGCTTATCTACAGATTATGCCAAGGAAGTTTTTCCGAATATTAAAAAAATGACAAGCTAATACACTAAAAGAACAACAAGTGAGATATACAAGCAAAGGTCTAACAACCGTAGGCTTCTTATATGCCTGATTATCCGTGATCCGTTCAGACACAAAATCAATCCCTAAAGTGAACGTGACATAAAAAAGAATTCCTCCACAACAAATTAAATTTAGTAATAATGATAAAACGAAATTTAAGAATATTCTCTGAGTTCGCCAGGTTCTTTCCTAATCAGACTTCAAACGCTTTCCTAATAATCAAATCTAATGTACAAAATTTAAGGCCTTGCATACTTGTGTAAACCTCTCCAAAATGAATTATTGTGTATTAAGAGGAAATATACCTGGATATTTTAAAAACATTTATTGGAATGTTCTAGAAATATAACTGTAAAGGAGGTATATATTCTTACGGATGGACTCACAAAACTAAAATGAGATCAATTATTCTACTACCTCTGTTTCAATCATAACACGTTTGGAAGTAATAAATCTTACCCTGTATGAATAATCTATTCCGCAACAAGAAATCCCCACTTATTCTGAAAAAAAAAATGGCTGGTTTGTAAGCAAACATCTTTAAAACAATTCTCATTTACAGAACTGGCTAAAGGTAGTATAACTCTGCTTCTCCTAAAGCTATGAGATAGATTCAATGTGTAATATGGTCTCTTCACTAATCCCTTAAATGTAGTCGAACAATCGCTAATGTGTTCAGGTTAAAATCTCGTCAAGCCATGCTTTCTTGCTTAAGAACAACACTGACCGCATAGGATACAGGAACCTTAATATATAAAAATAGTTTGAATAAATCATTTTTGTAACTTGACTGAAACAATTTGCAAATTCCTACGGTACAGGGTAAGATCCTAGGGTGTAATATTGTCATGGATCGTATATTAAAGGTGATTCTATTTACTGTTACACTGATGAATGTTTGGAATTTCTGTTAGAAAATTGCTAATCAGACAGATGACGATATAGTGTTACGGAATTTCCTGAATCAGCATGTCTTCGGGATAAATTGTAATACAGTTTTAAAGTAATTTATCTATGACGCTTTTACTTGGAAATTACAGTACAAAGTCAGCAATCCGGACTCGTCGGGACTTCGGCGATTCCTGATTAGGGTTTTTTTCCGAATTATAGATCATCAATTTAAATCTGGTGAGACAGCGCCGGATTTAGCATTTTTGCTTCCGCGGGGCAAAAACTTAAAAATGCCGCCCTTACCCATCTTCCTTTAAGTTTCTAACAACTTTTAGTTTTTTAAATAAATATAGAAATAGGTAGTTTTCGAGATAAAATGTAAAATCCATTTTATAGTAAAAAATTCTTTATTTGCCATTTTTGTTCTAAAAGAAATATACATAATAAATGATTTAATTTCTTTACTTATAGCAAAGCATAAGAGAGCTACCTGCCTAAGAGGGGTGAGGTCTTTATAAGAGTAATTGGCTCATGTGCAAGTTACGCATGAGCGAACGGCGGAAATACACATGCAGCCAGCTAATTCGCTTGATTCTAGCCCTCGACCGAACTACCAGTGTTCAGACTTTACATCTCAGCCACTGATGGCCGTTACATAATTAAAAACCCGTGCAAACTCTCTTAATTCAGTTACTTCTCCGGTGCACTGAAATAATCAAATTTACATTTTCCCTGAAATAAGGATTTTTTCAATATTTGCAACAATAACTACTCATACTAATAAATGATGCTAATAGAAAACAATTCAGAACTAAATTCTAAAATAGTTCATCACAGCACAAAAATGGGAATCAGACATTAATAAATAATAAAAAATTTCATTTAAACAAATATAAGCAAATTACAAAGCACTAAAACAGTGGATTGAATAATTTTTTACCAATTTCTCGGTACTAACAGTAACTTTAACCTAGCACATTGAATATTCATTTCACAATAACGCCTTTCTGTAGCCTACTCAAGAACTCTACTATCGTTCTCACAAAGCCCAGTAACATAATAAATACTTACATATTCACGCAAAAGACTATTTTTGTACTGTAATAATAAAAATTGAATTTTCTCTGAAATACGCAATTTTCCAATATTTGCAACAGTAACTAGCCACACCATGGAGGTAAGAAAGAAAGGAGAGGCCAACCCCGCACTGCGAGTGAAGCACTGCTCCGAGGGTTTCGATCTCCAGATGGAGTGTTTTTTGTTTACATTTAGAATCTCCCTTGACAGTGCAGTAATAGTATTTTGACGCATGACACTTCCATACAAATCGAAAAACGGGACACTCCCGCATAAAAGAAACATTCATTGTTTGATGGATAATAGCAATTTGTATAGTTATGCAAAATGTAATGTTTAAAGAAGATTTTAGCAAAAATGTTACTCTTAAAGAATGGAAAATACCTAAAATACCTTATGGTATCTTTAAAATTATATATACGTCTTTCGATACCCTTGATTATGCACTCTTAATAAAAATAATCTTTAGTTACAAACAATAGATTACATAAGTTGGGACAATAGATGAGATGATTAATTATGTAACTAACTTTCATAAGCTATACATAACAGCAATACGGACTACTACTGAAAGGAAAAAGTTAGTATTTATACTTCTTTTCATAATTCTTATTTCAATAATAATTTTAAGTTCTTACCTAACGCTCTTAAAATATTACGGGATTAAAATTTTACTTTTATTATTACTTACTTATTACTTAGCCTTTTATTCTTCAAATACATCTATAGCATCATCATAATTAACTTGATGTACTGTTTGATTTTCGATTGCCAGAATTGCGA